CTCCTAATATCCTGTTCCTGCAAGCCGGGAAGAGGGAGGCTGGGAGGAGGACAGGAGCGAGTGGTGGGCATCAGGCCCATCTAGTAGGGTGGGACCCCTGGACGGATGGCAGCTCTGGGATCTGTACATTCCCCAGCTCAGCGTTCAGCTTAGTCAGGGTGGGTGAATGACCAGACGTCACAGTAATTTCTGAGCCCAAATCCAGACTCATGGATCTCCAGTCCATAAATTTATATTGAGCACCCTACTCTCGGGGGGGCTGAGCTAGGTCCTGAGGATCTGGGGAGCATTGGGAAGGACGTTCTTCTCTTTCAGTTTAGCACCTGCTCTGCATGAGCTCAGGGCTTTGTGCTGGGATCACTTTCGGGGTATTTCTCTGCCAGTCCTGTCTTGTGGTGATCCATTTACCTACTGTCTGTGTCCTTTGCTGGTTCCCATTAGGGACAGGGACCTTGACTAAGACATTCTGCACCTGCAGGCCTGTAACACAGCATGGAGCTGGAGAAAGGCACCCTGAGTGAAAGTGACAGAGACCTGGAACTTGCTCTTGAGCGGCCACAGTCCAGGCAGTGACCATCTGATCATTAACATACAGTATGACAAGGCCGTCTTGGGGACAAAATGAGCTCATATCTGGGAAGAGTGCTTGGCTCATAGTAGGTATCAAATCAGTATTTTTAATTCCTCACTCTTGGAAAACCCCAATTTATTATTCACGGCCCTGGTCAGATGCCCTCTCCTACAGGAAACCTGCTCTTTCCCTCCTGTTGTAATAGACACTGTTAGCGCTCTGCCCAGATTCCCCATTGCCAAACAGAACCACCTCCCAGCCTCTGTTATGGCTGGCTGCTCACCATGGTGCCTTTCTCCTGAGAATGGCAGTCAGCCAACAGGAGCCTCCCTGGAGAAGGTCCGGGACGTTGCCTCTTCCTGTAGGATGGTGAGACCATTCCTCAAGCACCATTCGTGCTCCAGAGCCCCGTGTGGGGCCAGGCTGCGGCCAGACTGTTACTGGGACCACACGCTCGCTTGGTCTGCAATCATCCTCGAGTGAGACCTCCCAGGACACACCCGGAACTGGTCTTCTAACCAATTTGGGGCCAGAACCAGGCTTTCATTTTGCTGTGTAAGATGCTCAGGTTTGTGGCTGGAGGTGAGCTGCAGGGGATGAGGCAAGAGAAACTGGTCCTGGCCTCTGCACGCTCCTCCTTACGCTTGTCCACACTGTGCAGGGCCATTTCCCTGAATATCTGTGGCTGAACAAGTATTTAAAGAATTGTTGTTTCCATGTGACTTATGTGGGCTGCCTGAGGTTCCCAAGACATTGTTCTGGCGCAGACACTAGATGCTGCTATTTCTCACAGGCCACTGGGGTATGTTTCCCCCAATGGCTACTTGCTGGTGGAGTGAGAGGGGAGTCAGTTTCCAGCTTTCAGGCTGAAGGCAGACTGGAGTCAGAGGGCTTTCTTTCCGCCCCAGAATATGATGGGCCTCCCTAGCCCTGGCTGGAGCAGGCAGAGAGCCCCAGACTCGAAGAAAGAAGGGCAAGAGAAGCCCCCTGGGTCCTGGTTCTTGCATTTGCCCCTCACTGAGTGACCTGCTGCTCCTCTCTCTGCATTTGTCAATAGCTGCCGAATAAGGTAGAAGATTGAGTTTCCATCCAGGTCTAGGCGCCTGGGATGGCTTCCACTGAATGCCAGAGACCCCAGACCTCCTCTCATCACAGCTGTACTGCAAGGTTGGGAGCTATAAGCCCCACTTCACAGATAGGTACACTGAGGCTCAGTGTGGTACAGTGACCTGCCTGTGGTTGTGCAGCAAATAAACAGTTCCCTTAGCAATGTAAACTGTGTAAGAGCAAGGATTTTGTTGGAGTGACTGATACACTCCTGCACAAATTCAGTGCCTTGCACAAATTAGGTGCTCAACAAATATCCATCAAGTGAATGAATGAAACAGTGGAGCTGGATTTGAACCCAAGCCTGAGTGATTCCAAAGCCTTTGCTCTTTCCAGTACTCAATGCCCCTCCCAGGCAGTCCGTTTGGGAATATTTGTATTTTTTTTGGAAGGGGAAGGATATATAAAAACGTAGAATACCGTTTGTTTGATAGCAATAACTGGGGTGTGGCGGGGAGTGGAGTAAAAGCCCAGGATGGCGGGAGGCCAGTTCAGGATTCAGGATTTGAAAAAAGAAGCAAGGTGTGAGGCCTTGTGCAGGAGCTCAGACCAGAACACAAAGGCTTTTCTGGAACCCCACTGGGGTCCTGCAGTAATTGCAGAGCGATTGTTGGTGCGTGATTGCATGTCATCTTCCCCTTGAAGGACGGCTCGCTGGCTGTGATTACCTTCACCTGGGGTTCTCTCTCCTTGTGTGGTCTCACACCCTATTGGTAAATGAGTCTGGAACATGTACCCCCTAAATCTGTATTTACTCAAAAATTAAATACATGTACCATGCTCAATCCATATATGAAACACCTGTAAAGCTTACTTTCTTAATAAAGTGAAAGATAAGCAGTAATAGATCCTTTCTGGACTCCAGTGGTTTATCAGCACTCCCCTGCCTCACTGGACCAGGTTGTGCCTTTTCTCCTTCCCACAATCCCCACTCCTCCCCACCAAAGGCTGGCAGGTTCCTGGAAGTGCAGGCAGAGTCCAGAGTCAAGAAGGTTCTAGTGCACCAGTCCAGAGCACCTGGAGGCCAAACCTGTTCCTCTTCTCCCATGAGAGCTGTGGCTGGGGAGCCTGGAGGCCTGGTGAGGCAGCAGGTAACTGGGACACTTTGGTCGCACACTGTCCACCCTTACTGTAGCATCCCCTTCCTCTCTGCCATGGGAGAAGTGCTGGGCCTGTGCCTCCTGACCTCTGAGCAGGTATCTTTGTCTCTTCCATCAGCAATCCCAGCCCTGTCATCTTCTGAGTGGCAGGCATCCTAGCGGTGGAGGCCATAAATCTAGGTGCAGACAGGAGTGATTCACAGTTCGCTGCCTGGGAGACTCACTTCCTTGTCAGAAGCTTAGAGCCATTAAGACAAGTTCTAGAGTCAGCACTCTGTGGATGGGTCTGCACACTGATCTGCCCCTCCCTTGCCCCAAACCCCTGGGCCTGCACCCCGCTTACTGAAATGATTAATAATTCAGGATTAATACAGGGCTGGGACATGGCCCACCTAAGGGTCTGAGGAGGATCAGTGGGTGATAAGGATATCAGAAGGACTGTGACAACGCTCTGAGGGTACTTGGAGCTGGGCTGATCTGGGTCCAAATGCCAGTTCTGCCAACTCCTGGCTGTGTGACCTTGGAAAAAGACACTTAACCTCTTGGAGCCCCAGTGCTCTCTTTTGCAAAAGGGGGCTAATTATGTCAACCTTGCAGAAATATTGGGATGCTAAGACCACATATGAAGCCTACCCTTACCTTACAAAAGGGGTACTTCTGAAGGTCAAAGTTAAGGTGGTTTCACTGATAGGATCAAGGTACCCAGGCTTCCACCACTGAGCTCCCTTTTGGAATTCAAGCACCCGGCTCCAGCATTTCTGGACCCTGTTTGGACAGTATCATGCTCCCTAGTTTGCAGGTAAGGACTCTGAGGCTCTAAGAGAAGAGATGATTTGCCCAAGGACACACAATGAAAAATTGACCAACCCAGGATCCTAGCAGAGGCCTCTTGTTTTCCTCCCAACACTCATGGAGGGTGGAATGTGCTCTGCATTGACTGTCACATTCATGTTTCACTCTGCTGTTGACCAGCAAGACCCTCTCCCTCTCTGAGCCAGAAGTGAGAGGGAGGGAGTCCAGGCAATTAAGCTGACTTGATTGGGTGGGTGGAGGAGGTAGCCTTCACTGCGATATAAATGCTTTTTAATATTGTTGTAAAGACCTATTTATTTAAAAGTTTTAACTTATTTTTTGGATAGGTAATGCATTGCCAGGGTTCAAAATTTCAAGAGGCACAAAAGGGGATTCCATGAAAAGTGAGTCTTTCCCACCTGCCCCCACCACAAGATTCCCCTTCTGGAGGGACCAGTGTTTCCACTAGAGATAATTTTCCACATACTTGAGCAAATATGAATGTAGAACCTTCCTTCCTGCATATATTATAAACATTGTTCTTCATTTCATCCCCTTTCAAAGAATGCCCTCATTTTTTATGGCTGTGTAGTATTCCTTTGTCTGGATTGCAGGAATGTGCATACACACATTTCCCTCCTCCCTTTCACCCCACATCCCATGGAGGAAGCAAAACTGACCTCTGAGGGTAGGATCCCCATTCCCCTTCCCCTGGCTAGTCTTTCTCAGAGCCTTTGAGACCTGGTGAGCTCAATGGCTGCCAGGCAGATGGAGGTAACTGTGATTGGGTGCAGTGGACAAAGCCACCTCCCCACCGGCCTGCAGCCTTTGCTGTGTGTCCCCAGACAGGCCTAGCCCTCTCTGATCCTCCTTTGCCTCCTCTGCCAGATGCAACCTGAAAGCTACCCTGCCTGGGCAGGTGAGGTGAGGGGTGAAGGCTCTTCCTGTAGGGGTCCTTTGCCTCTTACAGGCCAGGGGCTCTCACTCATTCCTTGATTCACTCAGTCTACTGATTCGCTCAGTCACTTGTTTACATATTCCTTCATCCATTTATTTACTCATTAATTTACGCATCAATTCACTGCCTCATTCACTCACTCATTCACCCCTTCATTCCCACATTCAAGGTTTCACTCATTCATTCAAGACTAAATCGTGGGGCTGGAGGTGGCAGGCTGCGTGATGGGGAGCCCCCAGGTAGGGGGTTTGTGAGCCGCCCCCAGCCCCGCCTCCGGGCCCGCCCCAGCCCGGAAAGCGCGCGCTCTCGGGGAGCGTCGCTGCTCAGCCGCCGGCTCCCGCGCCGAGGGGAGCGCCCGGCGGCCGCCCGGCACCCCGGCCCTTGGTGGCCGCCCGTGCCCGCGGGCCCCTCCCCAGCGCTGCGCTGCGCCGCCCGTCCCGGCGGGGCCGGGGCCGGGGCCGGGGTCGGGCCGGGGCCGGGGCCGGGCTGGCGAGGCCGGGCCGGGCCGCGGGGCGGCCGCCGGGATGCGGGGCTGGCGAAGGAACCTCGCGCTCTGCCTGCAGCGGCTGCCGGACGAAGGTAGGACGCGCCGCCGCCCTGGCCTGTGAGCAGCGGGGCGGCGCCGCGCTGGCCGGGCGCCGGGTGAGGGGCCGTCTCCGCGGGAGGCGCCGGCGGTGGCGGCGCGGGGGAGCCTGCGGGGGTCCCACGGCGCGCGTGGGGGCGGGGCCCGGGGATGGCGGCCGCGAGGGGCTAGAGCGGAGGCTCTGGGCCCTGGGGGCGCGGCCCGGCCAGCCCCGAGTCCGGGGTCTGGAGGAGTCGCGGCCGGCGCGGCGCCCACGTGCCTCCCCGCTCGGGGCCCCGTTGGCCGGGACCGGACGCGCGGGCGCCCTCGCCGGGGCCTTTGGCTCCCGAGGCTTCAGTCTCCGGGACCCAACTTTCCTCGGAGCGCCGGCCGCGCCCGGCGCCCACCCCGGAGTCTGCAGCTCCTCGAAGTTGTGTAGTTGGTGGGGGAAGCGGGCGTGCGGGGCCCCGGGCGCGCCGCCCCCAGCCCGGGCCTGGCCCTGCCGCAGCGCTGCGGCGCAGCCCCTCCGCCCGGCCGCCTCCGGCCGCTCCACGCGGGACCTGTTGTCTGGGCCGCTGCGGGGCGGCAGGAGGGGGGACCCCTGCCCAGGTCCTGCCACTGCTGAGGAAAGTTAGGTCTCGGGGCTAATTAAGAATTGCCAGGACTGTGAGTCGGGGCACAGCGAGGTGGGGATGGCAGCTACCCACCGTCTGCTCACTTTGGGGGGCATGATGGCGGCCTCGCCGGCCTCGCGTCCTGGGTGCCCGGCACCTCACCTCTGCCTGCGTCCCTAACCTCCACAGACGCCCCTCAGGGGGGCGCTATTATTCTTTCCACTTTACAGGTGAGGCCACTGAGCCTCCGAGAGGGGAAGCCTCTTACCCAAGGTCACACAGTCACTACGTGGTAAAGCTGGGATGTGAACCTAACTCTGTGTGACTGGCAAGATTTTGGTGGTGCCCGGGCTTCCTCACCCACTTCCTGTCTGACCAGGTTGGGCCAGGCTCAGTCCACAGGGGAGGGTCCGTTTCCAGCCCTGGCCAGAAGCCCCGAGTGTGGGGCATGGGGGAGGAGGACCTGCCGCCCTTTCCCCAGGCCTGAGCCAGGTCCGTAACCCCTGCTCCACTGTGGCCCCTGGTTACCAGGGCGTGGAAGTGGAGCCTGTGCAGGGTCTTGGCTTAGAGTGCCATCGGATCTGGGCTGCTGCCCCAGGACTCTGGCAGGCCTACCGTTGCCCTGCTGAGGGGGCATGCCGCCAGTCTCCTCTGACTGGGTGCTCATGGAGGCAGATGGATAGGGTTGCCTACAAGGAGGGGATCTGGGGGGTGGGGTGCCCCTACTTTGGAGCTGTCCTCAAGGAGCAGAGAAAATGATGAAAGAAATCTTGCAGATCCATTGCCCACCACTCACTCCAGTCTGAGCTTGGCCGGTCAGAAAACGGGGCAGCTGAGCCACAGGCACGCTCGGTGACTCTGGACAAGTCATTCCTTGTCTCCCAGGCTGACTCTGTGTCTGTAAGGGGATGGCCTCACACTCGTCCTGCAGGGTCCCCAGAGACGATGAAATGAGATCTTGGCCCCAGCACAGCACACAGGCCAGAACAGGCTCAGAAGTGGGGGCTGTTGTGTCCTGGGAGGGAGGTGTTGCTCTCTTGCTTCTGATCCTCTCCCCACCGTGTGAGTGTGTGTGTGGCATGGGTGAGGCATGTGGGTGGTATGTGTGTGAGGTGTGCGTGGAGGCACATGGGTAGTTAACGTTTGAGATGCATGTGGGTGTGTGTGAGGCTTGCATGTGACACGTGTAAGGCACATGATACCTACAGTCATTTTGCCTGCCACTGGCCACATCTCTTGCAAAGAGGCCATTTCCACCTCCCTCGGTACCCAGCATTTGAGTTTTCCTTGGAAAATCTTACTTGAGATTGATCCTTGATCTCAGCACTAAATCAAAGGGTGGCTGGTGCATCCACCCGCACAAGCAGGAAATTACTATTTTAGAAAGACAAAAATCCCCAGCTTTCTCCGGGCCACAGAAAAATTGGTTCCTGTGGGCTGGGTCTCAAATGAGAGGCTCTAAGATGTGGGTCCAGCTTGATGAGAGGCTCATGGTGGGTTGTCAGCCAAGCCTGAGCATGACAGAGAGATAGATGTAGACGTAGGGCCAGAGACCTGGCACCCTCAGAGAAGAGCTCTAGCCAGTAGGTAGGGACATTTTGAGTAAGACCAGCATGTCTGCTTATTCTATGGTGTAAGTTAAGGCCCTTGGGAAAAGGAGTGAGCTTGTAGACCAGACTCATGTCCCCAACTTAGGCCCCTCTGCTTGCCAACTGTGTGACCTTGAGTGTGCTACTTAATTCTTCTGAGCTTCAGATTTTTTCTTCCATAAAGTGGGAAGGGTGACCTTGCAGGGTGGTCTTGAAGAGTCAATGTTAAATATAGCACAGGGCCTAGCACATAGTAGGTGCTCGGGATATACTAATTCTGCTCTTTCTTTCCTGATCTTTACATCTGCTTTAACTTCTGATTTGGGGAAATGTCTGGTGCATTGGTCAGTGGAGAACTCAGGATTCAGGGTGGATTTCCGGGTTATGAGCAGCCAGCTTGAGGCTCTCCACTCCTGGGGCGTGGGGGATCCAGCTGGGTAGTGTCCACCATGTGGCTGTTTGAATCTACCACCTGGCCTTGCCCAGTGAGGTTGGCCAAAAGCATGGTTATGCTCACCACACACTTACCCAGCACATGTATCCGGATCACTCTGCACAGTTTTTAGAACCTAAAGTTGTAGTCATACCCCTTCATGAGAGATACATGCGGCCTCTGAGATTGGGGAACTCTGTGATGCGAACTTTGTGATGCTTTTGAGTTTTGTGTGTGTGTGAGGGAGACTTGTGTTCTGATGAACCTCCGCCTTGACATCTGTGGTCTGGTAGGCAGCGACATGTCTTCTGTTCACCACAGGAAATGCTTCCAGAGGACCCCCTCCTCCCATCCCAGGCTACTCGCTAGTCTCTGTGTGTGCAGAATCAGAAAATAAAAGCCCCAGTCCCTCAGATAACAGAAGTGCAAGGTGCCCAGTGAGTGGAAAGCAGCCACAAGTTCCTGTTCAGAGGAGGAGGGCGCTGCAGCCAGTGAGGAGGTCACATTTCCACAGGCATATTCCTCCCATGGTATGGCCTGATTAATTTCCCTCCTTACGCCAGTCCTTTCTTCTCTCTAATGGACTCTTGGAATGTTAGCCAGGAGGGTTAATAGAAGTCATCTCCTCTTATTAGAAAGACGGGGAAATACAGAAGCAGTTGAAGAACAAATGACTTTGTATTCATTCAACAAATATTTATTGAGCCCTGTTCTGGGGGCCGGGGATACGCCATGCTCAAGAAAAAGACCCTGCCATAAACAATGTGTTTACATTCTAAGGGGAGGCAGAGAACAAGTAAACAAGTAAATAGGAACAGGATGGTTTCAGAGTCATCAGCGAGATGAAAACAGTGCAGGCACATGGGCGATGTAGCAGAGAGCCCCAGGGGAGGGGACTTTTTCAGATTGGATGGCCAAAGGTGGCCAGGGGTGGCTTCTCTGAGAAGGTGGCTTTTGAGCCGAGACTAAAGAGCAAGAAAGCTCAGCCATGCCAGGAGCAGAAGGTAGAGCTATGCAGGCACAGGGAACGGCAGGTGCCAAGAAAAGCCCTGGTCTGCAGGGGTGGTGTGGGGGACACCAGTTTGACCTGTTGGAGGAAGAGAAGGGGGGGGTGACAAACAATGCAGCTAGAGGAGCCAGATCACCTCAGGGGAGGGGTATGGATGTATTCGGTCGGTGATGGAGCCATTGGAAGCCTCAGCCAAGGACTTGGGCTGGCTCTGAAGAGAAGCAAGGCTTTGAGCAATGGAGATGGCAATGGGGTGAGGCACACCAGGCAGAGCAATGGAATGAGTAAAGGGGTGGAGGTGGGGAAAGCTGTAGGAACCGAGGCTGCGGGACAGGCATTGAATGCCGTGTTTGGGGAGCTGTCCGGGGTTCTGAAGGGACATAAGCATGTCTGCAGTTATGTACTCTTAGACGAATGTGTGTGTGTGTGTGTATGTCCGTGGTACCCGGCTAGCTGATGTGTCCCTGTGCCGGTTACCTAGGAGACAACGGGAAGACGATGGGATGGGATCTGATTGGCTACTCACTCCCGCTGCTCATCTCTCTGTAAGAACTGCAGGCAGAGGTTACAAATGGTTCATGTGGGCATGCCAGGTGCTGGAAGGGGAGCTGTGAATGGTCACTGCCCTGAGACCTCTGTTCCTCTGTGTGTGTGTATGTGTGTGGTTGCCAGTGTGTGGCTGTGCATGTCTGGAACAAAGCGGTGGCATCTGGAGTTAATCCGCTTCCTGCTGTGAAACATCTGCTCATTGCCTTGAATCAGTTAGTAGAGGCTCAGATAAATTTAAGAAGAACCAGCCAGACTTGGAAAAGTATCTTTTGTTTGGTTTTAATAACTGCAATGTCAACACTGAAGCTCATTTTAAACATCTTCCTGTACCTCCAAAAAATGCAAATAAAGCCCTGAGTGGTGGAAGTTATGTCCCGTGACGCTGACTGTGATGTCAGTTTGCAGAAACACCTCCCCCCAGCTCAGGAGAAGTTACCAGATCACAAGACTTTTTTCCTCCCCTCTCCTTCTTTAAAACTACAGTATCTCCTTTTCTTCTGCTTTGTGGGTAAAAAGACAAGGGATCTACATTTTAATTCTGCTTAGAAAGGGGATGGAGAAACCAAAAACCCCATCAAAGGGTTTCCTTTGCAATCAACTTTCTCAAATGGCAGCCCCGGCAGCCCCGATAGGCTCGAAAAAAACTAAAAGCACAACAATGACAGAACTAGCTCCAGGGCTGCAAGGTAGTTAGCATTCTTGGTCTCTTCCCCCACTCCTGCCTCCCACTCTGCAGGGCTTGGCAGACGATACAGCTGGTGAGGAAGGAAATGAGGATTTCCCCATTCCCACTCTCGGCTGCTCTGATCTGGGCTCAAGTTTT